TGATGAATCCACAGACGCCTATCGGGTGCACATTTTAAAAATATTTTTGTAATGTACAGAGTGTCCCAAAAGCCCTAAAAGTATCAAAGTTGTGTATTTCTAAATGAAATACCCTATATATTATTGCATTTTTGGATTCTCTGCGCAAAATAAGTGTTTTAAGTAAATTTTATCAAAATCTAATATTATGTTCATGTGTTAAATACTTTAGAATTATTTAAGTTATGTAAACGTAATTCGTAGTGTAGTGTAACAAGAAATCATATTTTATATCCCAATGATAATGAACTTACCATTTTATACACGGTGTCCACAATTTTAAACTAATCAAATAAGAACTTTAAATGGCTATAACTTGATTAATTTAAATACAACCCCATATTTTTTAGCTTACCAGGAAATGCAATTTATAATTACGTATCAAAAGGTATTAGGATGTGAATAGCTAAGTTTTTGCCTTTTCACAAAATACACCAAATAATGGTTCTGTGCACCATTTGGTGTTTTTTTTTTATTAAAAGGTTAAATAACATATCAACAATAACATAAAACAAAGGCAAATTATTCATAACAAATGTTCGAAATGTTGACCGTCCATTTCCAGGCACTTGTAAATTCTTTTTAAGGATAAAAGTTGTGCCTTTTGATAATTCTGGAAATACTTGATTGACTAATGTTAGTACTTTTGGATATTACATTTTGACTAACATTGGGATTTTCGATAACTGAACCAATTATTTATCTTCAGTGACAGATTTCCTTGTAATGGGTTTTTTATAATTGACACTCCCAGTTTCCTCAAATTGGTGTAATAAGCGCTTTGTTGGCTTACGATCATTTCTTTCAGGAAACTCGAGAAGCCAATAAACAATGTTTATGACATTCTCCAAGGGTGAAAATCATGTCAATACGCTCTTATCTTGGATAATTCTTCATTTTAACTTAGCAACACAATAATAACATTAAAATAACGACCAACACGTCTACAATTACAAAAGACAATACCACTCCAGCTATCAAAAAGAGA